GGCGCTCCAAATTTGGCCCAACCTAACAGCAAGACGAACACGAACTGCTGGACAATGGGCCCTTGACGCTCAAAAGAAAACCTGGGAATTGATTTCTGGCAGCACACGCGAAACGGCAGACAACTGGCTCAGGACACCCGAGATCTTTCCCAGGAGTGGGCAACATGAAGACGCGACCAAACCGAGCGGTTGCACCTGGATGATCAGAATGAGGCCCAGGAGTGGATGGAGCCCTGGCAACACGATGTTGCAGCTGATTGTAAGGGCTGCGCCCGGATGATCAAAACCACTCCCAGGACGGAGGTTCTGGCAAGACGAAGAGCCAGGCGCACCCGAATGATCCGAATCAGGCCCGGGAAGAGGAGTTCTGGCAGCACTGAGGGTCCAGCTCCACCCGCCCCGCCAGCCTGATGACCGCAAGCTTACGCAAGCAGGGCGTAAGAGCCTCTAGGACAAACCTCCCCGAGGAACCACAGTGAGTTCCTCGAAAGGCAGAATTTGACTTCCGCCGGCGGAGCCGGCCCCGTTGTAACCTCCGCCGGCTTCCGCCGAGCAAGAGACCCAGACATGCGACGTCCTGTTTTCGATGCGGGCCCCGGGGGCGTCCCGATCCTTTCCCCAGGACGGGCTTTTCATCCTGAGTCGTTTTTTCATTGTCCCAGGGCCCGGCGAGGCACTCCAGAGGCCGAGCAGATCAACAAATTCCCCGTCGTGCTTTTTCTCGACGCCATCATGCCTGCAGACGTCAACCTCTCGATCCTTCAAGGAGCGAAGCCCTTTCTGGACTGTTCCGGCCGGGGGCGGCGGGGAGGTGCACGCCCCAGACGCTCTTTCACAGCGTTGGCCCCTGGCGGTCCTGACCACCTTACCGGGGGCCGATCTCTGTGTCTCTGTGACGGAGGCAGAGCCGAGACAACATCGGACCGATATACATCATAACTCTTCTCCGAACGCTCTGAGAGCGTGCCGGAACGTTCTGGAGCGATTGATCTTGGTTCCAGGCCTGCCTGGATCCCTCACCCCGAGCCGTTCTCTGACGGCCCCGGGCAGGACCCCTCGGAGGCGGCGAGAATGGGCACACACGCATCCCCCTCTCGCTTGGGGCAGTGCCACGGGGGGGCACCTCCAGGGGGGTCGCCACTGCCTCGAGGAAGCGCCCTCTCCATGAGAAAGCGTGACCCCATGGATATTCCAGCGCTAACCCCCCAAAAAATCGGCCCCACGCGTCCGGACGCCTCCTCGAGCTTCGATCCTGGAGCGACGACTTCCAGGAGGAGCTGGTGAATCCCAGAGAGGCCTCCTCCTCCTCCTCCTCCTCCTCATCGTCATCATCATCATCATCATCATCATCATCATCATCATCATCATCATCATCATCATCATCATCATCATCATCATCAGCATCATCAGCATCATCAGCATCATCAACACCATCAGCATCACCATCATCGTCATCAACCCTCGCGACCCCCAAACATTCCCGACCGCTTCCACAGGGATAGCATTCCGCACCGGATCCGTTTTTGATGGTTCTGGGGCCTGAAAACAAGCCCCAGATGCCGAAAATAGACGAAACATCGCCAGCGTTGAACAAAGCATATCCTCGGACGTCTGGGGATGGATAAACGCATCCCGTCTCGATCCCAACACGAGCGAGGGGAAGTCTTCACAACGTGGAACCCGAAAGGTCTCGACCGATTCCCTGGGATGGGTTTACATCCAGAAAACTTTCTTGACGGTCCCAAAGCCTGGCGATGTCTCCAGGAATTCGAAATCAGCAAAATCCTCCCGTCTTGATCTTCTCGCGACGCGAGGAGGTCTCGGTTCTGACTTCTGCGCGACGGGAGGTCGGCTACACGCAAGTGTAACCCTAAGCAAGAGTGACCCTGACCTTTGGTGCGCGGACGAAGTGGGCGCAAGGTGGCTAAATCCGAGCGCGCAAGACCTTACTGCCGCATCACGCTCCGCCACCTGGGGGGCCCCCGGCGTGCCCGCACCGCAGGCCACCCTGGCGGGAAGGCCACTCCTGCGCGTGGCCGAGACGGGATCCTGCAGACTTCCGGCGCGCTGACACGGGTCGGTGCAGCCCTGGCTCTGCAGGATCCGGAAAGCTCCGGCGCCCTGGCTGCCACGCCTCCTCCTCCTCCACCTCCTCCTTCGTCCTCTTTCTCCTCCTCCGCCTCCTCCCTCCTCCTCCTCCTCCTCCTCCTCCTCCTTTCCCTCCTCCTCCTCCTCCTCTTCCTCCTCCTCCTCTTCCTCCCCGAGGAGCTCTGGGACGCCGGGCGTCGGCGGCCTCTGGGGGCGCCGCGGTGCGCAGCGGCGGCAGCGCGCCCGCCGCCGTCTCCGCCGCGGCGCAGGGCCTCGGGCGGCGCGCGCGCAGAGGGGCGGACGAGCAGGAGGGGGAGGGGGAGAGAGGGGGGAGTAGGGGAGGAGGGGGCCTCGATCCTCCTCCTCCTCCTCCTCCTCCTCCTCCTCCTCCTCCTCCTCATACTCCTCCTCCTACTCGGGGGGGTGCTGCCCCGTGAGCTCGATCAGAGGCTATTGCCATTGCTCAATACTGATATCGTCGGTGGATGAGCTGTCTCTCTCGTTCTCCCCCCTGTCTCTGCACTTGCACGAGGCCTTTGTACTGTCTTCGCCTTTCTCTTTTCCCCCTTCACTATGGGCTTCGAACCTATCAGCCCTTAGGTTAGGGAGCGAACGAGCGAAGGGGATGGGGGAGGAGGGGGGAAGGAGGAGGACCCGGACCCCCTCGCGTCCTGAACGAAAAAGCAACGGCCTTTTTGTGGACGCTTTCAGCCATTCGGGTCCCTCACCAAGCTCCAAGGCCTTCAAGAAACGGCTCGGGATGAAAAGCCGGTCCCAGGAAGCGGTTCACACCTCTGCGGGCCACCTGTGACAAAAATCATGATCTCGGGGGTCTGGGGAGGACGACGTGGAGGAGGAGGAGGAGGATGAAGGGGAGGAGGGAAGGAAGGACAGCGAACTTAGGAAGGGGATGGAGAAGGGAGAGGAATAGAAGAGAGGGTCTCCAATTCCCGCCAATATGGTAATTACCCTTCCAGGCCACTCCGACGCTGATGCTGGGAAGGCTCGGGTGGATGAATGGGAAGAGCCTGTTACATTTCGTGGAACGCTATCATCGCGTTATCCACTTTGTCGCAATTGGATCTATTTCGAATGATAGCATCATTTGATCGGGACCGAGGGGAAGGACGAAAAGGAAGAGGAGGAGGAGGAGGAGGAGGAGGAGGAGGAGGAGGAGGAGGAGGAGGAGCAGGACCAGGGTAAACCCAAGGCGCATCAACGATGTTGCAATACTCCCTCCTCCCCAATTCCCTCCTCATAGGTCCCTACATCAAACATTTTCGCTGCGGGAAGTGACTCATTGACAGACAACTGTCTGAGAATTCTCGAGCGTGCCAACACCATTCCTGGGACTTCAGCATAATTTTTGCTCCCTGACAATCCTAAACCGTGCCAGAATACCATCCCTGGGGCTTCAATGCCGCAAATCAACGTGAATGTTACGTCTTGCCATTCCTACACCGTGCCAGAACACCATTCCTTGGACTGCGCTCTGTGGATCCTTCAACATGTTGCGAACTTTTGAAACGAATGCGTGCGGCGCTCAGGCGAAAACCCTCCATCATTAAACATGCTGCGAGCTTGCCAGAGTGTGCGCGGCGTTCAAGTGAGAGCCACATGTTAACAACGTCCCGCCTTCCATCCTTGAAATGGTTGCAAAGTTTCAGAACGAACGCGCGTCGCCCGAACAACCATCAAATTCAGAAAACCATCCGCCCTCCATCCTTGAGACTTTCGCAAACGTTGAGCACCACTGTGCGCGGCGCTCAACCAAGAACCACATTTTCAAACTGATCCGCCCCCATCCGTGAACCTGTTGGAATTTCCAAATTTGAAAATCATCATACATAGTCAAGAAGTTTCAAGTGAAGCGCACGGTGCGTCAGGGAAACGCTCTTTATCAGGAGAAAGGGATGGAGGAGGAGGAGGAGGAGAAGAAGGAGGAGGAGGAGATCAGGGGGAGGAGGAGGATGAGGAGGAGGAGGATGAGGAGGAGGAGGAGGACGAGGAGGAAGAGGAGGATTAGGATGATGATGATGAGGAGGAGGAGGAGGAGAACGAGGAGGATGAGAAGGTGGAGCGCACGTCGCTTCGGGGGGTGGGGGGGCGTGGTGCGTTAGAGATGAAAGGCCGCGCGCGCAGCGCGGCTGGTCTGCAGGTTGGTGGCAGCCCTCGCGACCTTCTGCGAGCCCAGATGGGGCCGAGGGTCATGGTAAATGTGACCTACGGTGGCATCTGAGGCGGCCGTCCTCCAATCCCTCGTAGTCAGACTCAACCCCCAGCCCAAGACGAATCCAAGGACACGCAGGGGGAAGGAGCGACTGTTGGACGCAGCCGAGCCTGCAGGAGGCCTGAGACAAACATTTGACCCGATTATTGGTAATCCTGCCCGCAGCCAAGTTTTTGACGTGAGGCCAGACTCGGGAAGGGGCCTTCCTACACAGCTAAGACCTAAGCCGTCGCCACCGCTCGTTTGTATCAGGAGGAGGCGGGAGAGGAGCCTCAGGGAACCAAGAGTGGAACCGACGAGCCATGAGCGAGGCCATGCCGTCGGGAATCGTCAGAGAGCGGAGGGAGATGGAGAAGAGCACCTGGAAACGAGGAGGGCGCTTCCGCTGGACCGCCCCGGCAGCACCCTCCTGGCAGCAGGACCGCCCTGGCAGCAGGGAAGGAGGAGGAGGAGGAGGAGGAGGAGGAGGAGGAGGAGGAGGAGGAGGAGGAGGAGGAGGAGGACCAGCAGCAGCAGCAGCAGCAGCAGCAGCAGCAGCAGCAGCAGCAGCAGCAGCAGCCCCCGCCCCGTCTTGCCCGACGGGCTGCCGCGCGTGGGCCTGGCCGCGCCCGGCTCCCGGCCGCCGCGCGGGTGCCGCGGTGCCCCACCCCGGGCGCGGCTTCGCGGCACGGGGGTCGGGCGCGCCGAGGGGGGCCCTCCAGGAAAGCTACGTGAGGGGCAGCGATAAGGGGATGGGCATAGGGGGGATGCATCGACCTGGAATCGGCGATACATCGCCGATAGATCGGCGATAGGCTCCCGATCGAGAATCCGCACCCTCCTGGGCGGGGTGGGGCTATCGGGTCCCTGTCGGCGATCAATGGGTGATTGGGGATCGATGCATCCCCCCCTATACCTATCCCCCCCATCGTTGCCCCTGATTACGGGCGGGGGATTTTTCTCAGCGTGTCGCTGCGGCGTCCCCGGCGACACGCTATGACCTGCGGGCGCATAGCGTCTCGCTCCGCTCCGCGCGGCGGGAGGCTCGGAAAGGCTTGGCGGCGCGCACAAGGGGGGGAGGAGAGGGGGGAGGGCTTCTTAGAAGGAGGCTGCTTCTTAGAAGGCGCCAGCCTTACATCTATAGATAAGGCCCTCGCCTTCTAAGAAGCAGGGGTGCTTCTAAGAAGCCCTCCCCCCTCCCCCCTCTGCGCGTGGCTGAAAGGCTCAGGACGTGGACGCTTGGGCATGGGAGAGTGGATAGCGTGTCGCGCCGAAGCGCAGTTGGGCCAGAACCGGCGGAGCGACACGCTGTTCCACAATTCCCGACCGTAGCGCATCGCGGGGCCGCAGATCGAAGACGCCTGCGGCGAACCACCGCCGCCCTATGCCTCTTGGAAGCGCCTATGTTGCCAAGCGTTGGGCAAACGTTTGGCCAAGATGCTGGACCGTGTGCTACCCCAGCCGTTGTGGAAACCCTTGGGGGAACACTTGGGGGAGAAGAGAGAGAGGAGGGGGGGATGCTGAGGGCGAGGAGGATACCTTTGGGGGCCTCCTGGGAGCTGGGGGCCTCCTGGGGGTCTCTGAGTGGCCCCTCGGGCGGCCCCTCTGGCCTCGTGGGGGCCCCTGTGGGCCCCTTGGGAGCCTCTTCCTCCTCCTCCTCCTCCTCCCTCCTCCTCCCTCCTCCTCCCTCCTTCTCCCTCCTCTCGTGGGCCCTTTGGGGGCTGTCCTGGAGGGCTCTTTGGCCGTCTTTGGGGCCATCTTGGCCCGTCTTGCCTCGCCCTCCGAGCAAAAACGGTGATACCTCTGGGGGCGTCTTGGGGGCCTCTTGGACCATCTCGAGGCCATCTTGGGCCGTGGGCCGTCTTGGAGGCATCTTTGGCTCTCTTGGGACCCTTGGCTGTCTCAGAAGCGTCTTGGAGGCCATCTTGGGGCCATCTTGAGCGAGGAAACCATTGGGAGGTTGATGTTATGGTGCACTGTGTGGCCAGCGGGTTGGGACGGAGACCACTGGGAACATTTGGAAGGGTTCAGAACAATCAACAGTCCAGCACGCCAACCACCCCTGTGATAAACACAGGGGGCGGCGGATCGAAGACGCCTACGGCGAGTCACCGCCGCCCCCTGCCTTTGTGGAAGCGCCTATGTGGCCGAACGTGGAGGCCAGACCTGCCAAGCTATCGGACCATGTGTTCCCCGAACCGGTTTGGAAAGCCTTCGGGGAACACGTGGGCATCTTGAAGGTCATTTTGGCCGCCTGGAGGCCATCTTGGGCGTCTTGGACGCCTCTTGGGCCGTCTGGAGGCCCTCTTGGGGCCTTCTTGGGGGCCTCTTGGGCCGTCATGGGGCCATCTTGGGGCCTCTTGGGTGCTGTTCGGGCGATGTTGGGGACCTCTTGGGCCGTCTTGGGCCGTCGGAGAGCTGAAAAGAAGAACATGCCAAAATCCTTCAAAAACCTTAGGAAAATCAATGATTTTAACCTATTCGGGCCTTCCTGGAGGGCGTCTTGGAGGGCTCTTGGGCCGTCTTGGAGGCCTTTTGCGGGCCTTTTGGGCCGTCTTAGACCATCTTGAGGCCATCTTGGGCCGTCTTGGGTGCATCTTGGAGCCATCTTACCCGTCTTGGAGGCCATTTGGCCGTCTTGGAGGCATCTTGGAGGCCATCTTGGGCCATCTTGGCCGTCTTGGAGGCCATCTTGGGCGTCTTGGAGGCCTCTTGGGCCGTCTTGAGGCCCTCTTGGGGCCTTCTTGGGGGCCTCTTGGGCCGTCATGGGGCCATCTTGGAGGCCTCTTGGGTGCTGTTGGGGCGATGTTGGGGACCTCTTGGGCCGTCTGGGGCCGTCGGAGAGCTGAAAAGAAGAACATGCCAAAATCCTTCAAAAACCTTAAGGACAATCAATGATTTTAACATATTCGGGCCTTCCTGGAGGGCGTCTTGGAGGGCTCTTGGGCCGTCTTGGAGGCCTTTTGCCGGCCTTTTGGGCCGTCGTAGACCATCTTGAGGCCATCTTGGACCGTCTTGGGTGCATCTTGGAGCCATCTTACCCGTCTTGGAGGCCATCTTGGCCGTCTTGGAGGCATCTTGGAGGCCATCTTGGGCCATCTTGGCCGTCTTGGAGGCCATCTTGGGCGTCTTGGAGGCCTCTTGGGCCGTCTTGAGGCCCTCTTGGGGCCTTCTTGGGGGCCTCTTGGGCCGTCATGGGGCCATCTTGGAGGCCTCTTGGGTGCTGTTGGGGCGATGTTGGGGACCTCTTGGGCCGTCTTGGGCCGTCGGAGAGCTGAAAAGAAGAACATGCCAAAATCCTTGAAAAACCTAGGAAAATCAATGATTTTAACCTATTCGGGCCTTCCTGGAGGGCGTCTTGGAGGGCTCTTGGGCCGTCTTGGAGGCCTTTTGCGGGCCTTTTGGGCCGTCTTAGACCATCTTGAGGCCATCTTGGGCCGTCTTGGGTGCATCTTGGAGCCATCTTACCCGTCTTGGAGGCCATCTTGGCCGTCTTGGAAGCATCTTGGAGGCCATCTTGGGCCATCTTGGCCGTCTTGGAGGCCATCTTGGGCCAAGTTGGGGCAACAAAGGCATTGACATATGGATTTTCGGAAACTTGCGGGTGGCCGGCGGGACGGGCCGAAGCCCACTGGGGAGTTCTTTTAGAAAAAGAACCAAAACCAAAACCTGAAACATCCAGCACGCCGTGCACCCCTGTGGCAAGACCACAGGGGGCGGCGGATCGAAGACGCCTACGGCGAATCACCGCCGCCCCCTGCCTTTGTGGAAGCGCCTATGTGGCCGAACGTTGAGGCCAGACCTGCCAAGCCATCGGACCATGTGTTCCCCGAATCGGTTTGGAAAGCCTTCGGGGAACACGTGGGCGTCTTGATGGTCATCGTCGCCGTCTTGGAGGCCTCTTGGGCGATCTTTCGGCGATCTTTGGGGGCTCTTGGGCCGTCTCGGGCCGTCGGAAGGCCGAAAAAAGGGAAATGCCCAAATCCATCAAAAACCTTTGGAAAATCAGTGATTTTGGCATCTTTTGGCCTTCCTGGAGGCCCTCTTGGGGGCCTCTTGGGCCCTTTTGGGCCAGCTTCGAGCCAACTTCGGCCATCTTGGTGGGTTCCTGGCACGTCTGACGCCGTCGGGAGCCGTTTTGGGGGCCTTTCTGGGCCAACGGGGGACCCTCTTGGGGCGCTCCAGGGCCGTCTTGGAGGCCATCTTGGGCGTCTTGGAGGCCATCTTGGGCGTGTTGGAGGCCTCTTGGGCCGTCTTGGGGCCCTCTAGGGGCCATCTTGGAGGCCACTTGGGCCATCAGGGGGCTCTCTTGGGGGCCTCTTGGGCGATCTTGGGGGCTTCTTGGGCCGTCTTGAGCCGTCGGAGAGCCGAAAAGGCGCAAATGCCAAAATCCTTCAAAAACCAATGGAAAATCAATGATTTTGGCCTCTTCGGACTCTCCTGGAGGACCTCTTGGAGGCCTCTTGGGCCGTCTGGGAGGCCTCTGGGGGGCCTCTTGGGCCGTCTTGGGCCGTCTTGGACTCTCTTGGGCCGTTTTGGAGGCCGTCTTGGACCATCTCGGGCGGACTTGGAGGCCATCTTGGGCCATCTTCGCGATTTTTTGAGGATGTCCCGAGCGAAACGGCCGTTTTTTGGAGGATTTTTTTCCGGATTGAGGTCCTTTCGGCTTCCTCCCGGGACCCCGGCGGGACGGGCCGGAGCCCACTGGGGAGTTCTTTTGGAAAAAGAACCAAAACCAAAACCTGACAGCTCATCCAGCACGCCGTGCACCCCTGCAAGCAGGGGGCGGCGGATCGAAGACGCCTACGGCGAATCACCGCCGCCCCCTGCCTTTGTGGAAGCGCCTATGTGGCCGAACGTTGAGGCCAGACCTGCCAAGCCATCGGACCATGTGTTCCCCGAATCGGTTTGGAAAGCCTTCGGGGAACACGTGGCGTCTTGATGGTCATCGTCGCCGTCTTGGAGGCCTCTTGGGCGATCTTTCGGCGATCTTTGGGGGCTCTTGGGCCGTCTCGGGCCGTCGGAAGGCCGAAAAAAGGGAAATGCCCAAATCCATCAAAAACCTTTGGAAAATCAGTGATTTTGGCATCTTTTGGCCTTCCTGGAGGCCCTCTTGGGGGCCTCTTGGGCCCTTTTGGGCCAGCTTCGAGCCAACTTCGGCCATCTTGGTGGGTTCCTGGCACGTCTGACGCCGTCGGGAGCCGTTTTGGGGGCCTTTCTGGGCCAACGGGGGACCCTCTTGGGGCGCTCCAGGGCCGTCTTGGAGGCCATCTTGGGCGTCTTGGAGGCCATCTTGGGCGTGTTGGAGGCCTCTTGGGCCGTCTTGGGGCCCTCTAGGGGCCATCTTGGAGGCCACTTGGGCCATCAGGGGGCTCTCTTGGGGGCCTCTTGGGCGATCTTGGGGGCTTCTTGGGCCGTCTTGAGCCGTCGGAGAGCCGAAAAGGCGCAAATGCCAAAATCCTTCAAAAACCAAGGGAAAATCAATGATTTTGCCCTCTTCGGACTCTCCTGGAGGACCTCTTGGAGGCCTCTTGGGCCGTCTGGGAGGCCTCTGGGGGGCCTCTTGGGCCGTCTTGGGCCGTCTTGGACTCTCTTGGGCCGTTTTGGAGGCCATCTTGGACCATCTCGGGCGGACTTGGAGGCCATCTTGGGCCATCTTCGCGATTTTTTGAGGATGTCCCGAGCGAAACGGCCGTTTTTGGGCACGGTGGCGGGACGGGCCGGAGCCCACTGGGGAGTTCTTTTGGAAAAAGAACCAAAACCAAAACCTGAAACATCCAGCACGCCGTGCACCCCTGCAAGCAGGGGGCGGCGGATCTAGTGGCCTTCGGCCCCACCCGCCGCCGTGCCTGGGTCGTGGGCAGGAGGTCTCCCGGGAGGCCTCTCGAGGGCCTCTCGGAGCCTCTTGGGGGGCTGCCTGGAAGTCGATTGGAGCCTCGCGCGCGCCTCATGGGGGCCTGCTCGCAGTCTCGGGGAGGCTGGGGCATGTGCGCGGACGAGGAGGGGGCCAGGGGACGTGCGGAGGAGAAGGAGGCGGAGGAGGAGGAGGAGGAGGAGAAACAATAATAATAATAATAATAATACTAATAATAATACTAATGATAATAATAATAATAATGATAATATTAATAATAATACTAATAATGATAGTAATAATAATAATATTAATAATATTAATAATAATATCAACAATGCTAATAATATTAATAGTAATAATAGTGCAGATACTACTGATATTAATAATAAGAATCATAATCACAATAGCAATAATACTACTGACAATGCTACATTCGTAATGCAAAGGAACCTACCAATATTCATACTAATAAAGAACAATACGAATACTAAGAAGAAGACGAAGAAGAAGAGGAGGAGGGGGAGGGAGTTGGGAGGGAGGAAGTGCGGGAGGGAGGGGAGGAGGGATGCGGGGGAGGAGGAGGAGGAGGAGGAGGAGAAGGAGGAGGAGGGGGAGGAGGAGGAGGAGGGGGAGGAGGAGGAGGAGGGGGAGGAGGAGGAGGAGGAGGAGGAGGAGGAGGAGGAGGAGGAGGAGGAGGGGCCATGGGATCTGAGAGACTTCGTGGCCCAGGCCCCCTCCAGGTCCTCTCACCCCCTTGGCGCCTGGTGGCTTTCGGGTCACAGCTCGGGCCTCTGGCGGCCGTTTGGGACGAGTCGGGCACCCTAAAGCATCGTAAGGCGATAGGGTACCTGCAGAAACATGCCCCCCCCCCAGTCCTCGCCATGATCTCAACGCCCTCCGATCTGTTCTTTCAATCCGCGGCCCCAGAGCTCCCGCTCCCTCCCCCCCGGGAGTAGTTCTGCGCCGCGGACTCGTTCCTGATGCCCAGCAGCGGCCCCCATGAGGCCGACACGAATGAAACACTTTTTTGGTCTGCGGGTCGAGAGCGAGCCTCTTCCGGTTAAGAGCTAGGCGGGCCGCGCAAAGCACTAATTGGGGAGACAGGGCGCGGGCGGACGCGAATGCAACACGCAGCGACTGAAGACCGCCTTTTCGTCGGAGGTCCGGGCCTGTCCTCCCCGCCTCTCGGGCGCCCCCGACGGGGCGGCGGTCGCGCGACCCCCGCGAGAAGGCGCCGCCTGTGCGGCGGCCGCGGGGGTCCCACGCTCGGGCCGCGCGCCCTCGGGGGCGCGCGGGGCGGCGGGAGCAGGGAGCGGAGGGCTGGGACCTCCAGAGGGAGGGTGGGGACGCAGGTGAGGGAGGGAGAGAGGTGGAGGATGGGGACGCAGGGGAGAGAGGATGGGACGCAGGGAAGCAGGGGAGGGAGGATGGGGACGCAGGGGCGGCGGGAGGGAGGTGGAGGAGGAGGCAGGAGGAGTGGTCTCGACTCAGGGGACGCAAGGGAGGGAGGACAGGACAGGACAGGACATCCGCTGAAGGGGGTCAACGTCAACACCTGCGATGGTGCCGTGCGCGGCGCGCGACTGGCAAAATCCCCTGCGATTAGGTTGTCCAACAGCCCAGACCTCTCATTTGGGCCGGCAGGGGGCATACCCCGAAGCTTCAAGGAGCGAGGGAGGTGGAGGAGGGAGCAGGAGGAGTGGCCTCGGCTCAGGATGCAGGCCCGAGCATGGGGTCCAAGAAGTCCTTCCACTCCGCCGCCGACCATCCACTCCCGACCTGAGGCGCCTCGGTGCCGTTGACGAAGACCTCGCGGCACGGGTCCGTTCCTCCTCCTCCTCCTCCTCCTCTTCCTCCTCCTCCTCCTGCTCCTCCTCCTCTACCTACTCTTCCTCCTCCTCCTCATCATCATCCTCTGCCTTCCTCTTAGACCTGCCTGTTTCGAGGCAGGCCAATTCAGCATCCAACATCCTCTCCCTTCTTCTTCCTCGTCCAACTCCTCATTCCTCTCATCCTCCTCTTCCTTCTCCTTCTTCTCCCCCGTGCCCTCCTCTTTCTTACCCGCCTCCTCCTTCTTTTCGTCGTCGTCGTCCTCCTCCTTCTCCTCCTCCTGCTGTTCCTCTTCCTCTTCCACCTGTACCTCCCCCTGCCCCTCCTTCTTCTCCTTCTCCTCCTCCTCCAGCTCCTCCTCCTCGCGCTCTGGAACTCTCCGGAAACACCTTTCGACATTTCCGAACACCGTCAGATAGAACATTCGAAAACCACAACCACCGCCACCAACAACCGCCGACGGCGACGGCGGCGACGTGGACGGCTGCGGCCGTAGACGTCGGCTCCTGACCTCCTCCCCCCCTCTTGCCCTCCTGAGGGGCAACGATAAGGGGGACGGCTCGAGAGGGGAAGCCTCGAGCTTGAATCGGCGATACGTCGCCAATCGATGGGCTCCTGGCTACCTGACCCCTGTCGGCATTTTTTCAAACCCCAGCCTTGTGCAAGTCCCCCCGGGCTGGCGGGGGGGGGCGCCATCTCAGCGTCCCAGGGGCATCCAGCCAGCGCGTCTAGCCCCCCCAGGCTGGAGGGAGGCCGCCCGCCGGGCGAGTCTGGTCGCATATACTGCGAGTCTGGGCAGGCCGCCGCTTGAAGCCCCGATAGCAAAACAGCACGCTCCTGGGCGTGATGGGCTGCCCGGCCCCTGTCGGCGAGCAGTGGGCGATTAGGGGGTCGATGCGCTCCCCCTATGAGCGTGTCCTCCCCCCAAATCCCACCAGCCCTCTGGGCGACAGGTGTCGTCCCTCTTCCACAACCCCTTCTTTCCCTTGGGGGAGGGGCTTACCCCTCCCCCTGCCCCCTCCCCCTGGACCTGGACAGGGGGTTCCTCGAGGGGTTGGAGCGTCCAAGATGGCTCCAAGAGGGCCTTCGATGCTACAAGATGGCCTCCAAGACTGCTCAAGACAGCCGAAGATGCTTCAAGACAGCTTCTGACATGCCTCCAAGAGGCCCCACGAGAGCCACAAGACGGTTCCAGGTGCCCTTGAGGACCCCTCAGGACCTTTCCGAAAAGCCCAAATGCTTCAAACATCAATCAAGCATCGACGATTTTTGCCTTCTCGCCTTTTCGCTTCGGATGCGCTTGTGAGGATTCAAGATGGCTCCAAGATGGCCCAAGAAGGTTGCTTGGCCGTGCCTGGCATTGGCCGGTCGAGCTCGGCGCTGCTTAGCTTTGGTTGGTCGTGCTTGGCATCAGGTGCCCCACCCCCAAGGCCTCTCGGATCAGCCTTTCGGGCCTATCGGGGCAAGCAATGCCAAGCACGACCAACCAATACACAGCGATGCCAAGCACGGGCCACCAGTTGATCACCACTTGGGTGACTGGCCCACCAATGGAATTCCCTGGGGTGGCTGGCCCGCACACAGACATTCCTTGGAGTGGATGGGTTTACCAGCGTACCTCCCCTGGCCATAGGGGGGGCGGAAGGAGTCGAAGGAGCGGATGGTCCGAACTGGTCAGCCCCTGGAGTGGAGGGCCCACCAGTGGACTTTCTGGTGTGGAGAATTCTCTGGTGTGGAGATTTCATTAGTGGCCCCTTCTTGGTGTGGCATGTCCACCAGTGCCCTCGCACAACACTCGGTCTCCTTCCTACTGCGCTGCTGCACAGGCACTGTGGCGGGGTTTACCGCAGGCAGCTTGATGTGTATATTTATATGTATATATACACATATATAGATGTATATCGGTGTGTGTGTGTGTGTGTGTGTGTGTGTGTGTGTGTGCGTTCGGCTCTCCCCTTCGCAGCGCCCTGAACGCTACCCGATGGCCGAGGGGAACCCCGCCCAAGGGCCCATGGGGTCACGCCATCAGCTCTGAGGCGTATCGACGGCAAGCACGGCCAACCAATGCTAAGCGTAGCCAACCAATGCCAATCAATGCAAGCACGACCAAAACTTGCCAACCACTAGAACACGCTAAGCAGTGTCAGGCATGACCAAGCAATGCCCAGCGATGCGAAGCACGACCACTGACTGTTAAGAAATGGCAAGTCTGAGGCTTATGTATGTATGTATGTCTGTATGTCTGTCTGTCTGTCTGTCTGTCTGTATGTATGTATGTATGTAGGTATGCATGTATATTTATGTATATATATATGCACACGGCATGCATGTTCGCACATACACACATAGACTCTTCTCGGAGGTCTCCATTGCAGTACCCTGAACACGACCCGAAGGCCGAAGGAAAGGTGAGGGCTCTTTCAAAGGCCCATGGGGTCGCAGTCATCAGCCCTGGGGGTGTCCCAGCGGCAAGCAACGCCAACCACTTTCAATGCAAGCACAACCAATCGCTGCCAACCAACACAAAGCATGAACCATCAGCGCCAAGCAGTGCCATGCACGACCAAGCAATGCCAAACGCTGCCAAGCACGACTATTCGTCGCCAAACAATGTTATGCGCTACCAACCAATGCCACGCAATGGAACGTATGATCACTCAATGCGGAGCAAGACCGACCAACGTCAATCACGACCGATGCCAAGCACGATCAACCAATGCCAAGCACAATATATCAATGCCAGTCCGACGAGCGCGCCCAATCAATGCCACGCACGACCAAGCAGTGCCAAGCACGACCAACCAATACCAATCAATGCCAGGCACGGGCCACCAGTGGATCACCACTCGGGTGGCTGGCCCACCAGTGGATTTTTTTTTCCTGGGGGCCTGCTCCACGTACACAGACACACACACACACACACTCACCCTCTCACACACATACACACACACGCACACACGCACACACACCACCACCACCAGCACCAGCACCAGCACCAACACCAGCACCAGCACCAGCACCAGCACCAGCACCACACACTCGCGCACGCATACAAGCCCTGAGTGGAGGGTCTACAATTGGGCGTCCTTGGAGTGGACGGCTGCGGGCCTACCAGACAGTGGAGGGACCAGCAGTGGGCCACCCTTGGGGTAGACGGACACCGTCAGTGGACCACCCCTGGGTTGCTGGCTTACCAATGGAGTTCCCCTGGGGTGATTGGCCCACCAGCGGACTTCCCCCCACCCAGCAAAAAAAGCGTGCGCGGCGCTAAGGCGAGAATCATATTTTGGAGAGAATGTGCGCGGCGATACAGCGAGAGGCCGAAACTGGAAAAGTGTGGCTCCCAAGACCGCCACCCCAGAATCCCCCGCCCTCGAGAACTGCCCCCTTGCTGTAGTTATCGGTTCGACTTGCGACAGTTGCAGCAGTTGCAAGTTGGCTGTAATCTACTTGCAAGGCGCTCGTAAGTGGGTCAGAAGCCCGCCTGATTACTCTAAGTCTGAAGAAGTCGGGGAGCAACTGGGCGGACTTGCAACTGTTGAGAGTCACAACAATCACTGCAATGCTGAGACCGTCGGTGTCACGTGCACGCCCCTCACCCGGTGCATCTTGGTGTACCATTTGACCAGCTGCGTGATCTGGCACCCGGCGTTCCCGCCTCCGCTCGGGGGGCTCCAAGACAGGTCGCACGCCCTTCGAGAGATCGAGGAGCTTCGAGGACCGAGGATCCCCACATTTGGAGGATCTAGGAGGAGGAGGAGGACCAGTGTAAACCCAAGACGTATGAAAGATGTTGCAGTACACTCTCCATCCAAGTCCCCTCTTCATAGGTTCCTACGAGAATATGTTTTCCCTGTTGGAGGTGCCCCGTTGGAATACAACGATCAGATAATCCTCCATCGTGCCAATGCACCACTCCTCGGACTTCAATGCCGCGAATCAACTTTACCGTTGCGTCCTGGCGATCCTGCGATCCTGAATCGGGCCACAACACCACTTCTGGGACTTCAACTCCGCGAATCAACATAAGAAGTGCGCCCTGAAAATCGCAAACCGTGCCACAACACCGTTCCTCAGACGTCAACCATGAGGAGCCGTAGCCTGTTGCAAAGATTCAATACAAAGCTGCGCGGCGCTGAAGCAGTAATCACATGTTGAAAAAGAGCCGCCCTCCATCAGTGAAGCGCTTGCGAACTTTTGAAATGAATGCGCGCGGTGCTACTGCGAGAACCGCATTTTGAAAACGGCCCGCCCTCCATCCGTGAAGCTCTTCTGAACTTTGACGGCAAACGTGCGGGGCGCTGCGGCGACCACCGCATCTTGGAAGCCACCCGACCTCCATCCGTGAAACTCTCGCAGCATATGCAACCGCACGTCCGCGGCGCCGAGGCGAGAGCCACACCCTCCATCCGTGGAGCTCGTGCGACACTTGTGAGACGAACGTGCGCGGCGCTGGGGCGAGAACCGCCTTTTGAAACGGAGCCTCCCGACATCCACGGAGCTCTTTCAAATCTTCAAGACGAATGTGCGTGGCGCTAAGGCGACAACGACATTTTGAAAACGGTCCGACCTCCATCCACGAGGCTCGCACAACGACTTTCAAAACGAATGTGCGCAGCGCTGGGGCGAGAATTACATTTGGAAAACGACCCGCCCTCCGTCCGTGTCTGTTGCATACGTTGAGCTTCAAAATCATGAACCGTGGGGATCTCTCAAGCGCAAGGTACGGCCGGCCCTACCGACACGTCTCGGGGTGCGACAGGGAGGAATTGTTTAGAAGGAAAGGGGGTGGGGGGGAAGGTGAAGCAGGAGGAGGATCGAGGATCGAGCTGCGAGAAGCTTCGAGAATCTACGAGGAGCTTCGAGAATCGAGGAGCTTCGATGATCGAGGAGGTTCGAGGATATCAAACGTGGGCGCTTTTGGGCCTCCGTGGGCCTCCGGATTCCTCACCAACTGGAAAGGAACGGATCCTGAAGGGACACGGCCCTTGCATCCCGGAGCTCTTCCTTCGGGTCGGCTTTCCGTCCTGAGCCGTTTGTGACAGTCCGGGGCCCGTGGAGGGTCCAGGGAAACCAAAAAGCAAAGGAAAACCTCAGGACCCCTGTCCCCAGGCATCCGCCGATGTGACTTTCCCACTGCGCGGCCCCAGAATTTCCGCCCTCTTCTCTGGGGGCAGTTTCTTCTCCCTGCATCAACTTTTGACGGCGTTGGGTCTCGATACCAGGCCGTGGACGCCGAAATCCAGAAAAAACGCGCGGACTGAAACAACAAATATCGTCGGAGGTCTGTGCTCCTTCATCCAGCGACTCCCAAGGGTGCGGCTTGCAACGGGTGCGGTTTGCAACCCGCGCCCTAGGAGGCGCACCACGGTTTGTGGCAGGGCCCGAGAATCACAACCTACGAAACCTCACACCGCCTGTTGGCGGCCTGAGCCTAAAAGGCTACACGACGGAACACTTGTCACATCCAGGAGGGGGGGCATGCATATATATATATATATATATATATATATATATCTGTGTGTGTGTGTGTGTGTGTGTGTGTGTGTGTGTGTGTGTGTGTGTGTAATTTTTAAATTATAATCCGCGGCCCCAGCAAGGTCACAACACCTTCCCCGGAGGTAGTTTTTCGCCCCGATCCACTTTTGCTGGTCCTGGGGCTCGACAGCGGGCCCTGGAGGCCAGCACCAGGGAAAACACCCAGATTGAAAAAATCAGATCGTCGGAGATTTGGGATGGGTCTCATTATGTAGTCTCTTTCCTTCCTGCCCGTCCCCCCCATTCCTGAGTATGACAAGTGTTCTGTCGGCATGAGGTTGTATATATTGCGGTTCTCGGGCCCTCAGAGGCCTTCCAAATCGGATACGAGTAGGTGGGGTCCGAGGATCCCTTCGCATCGCCGATGCATCGGCAATGCATCGGCGACCCTGGCGGTGCATCGGCGCCCTGGGCGTGGAGAACATCGGGCTCCGCTTCGAGCCGCATCGCCGATGCATAGCTGATGCATCGGCGATGCGGCGCGATCCTCCGACCCCACCTACTCCGACCGCTGCCCCCGCCCCCTCCCGCCACACGGCACGCGTCCTACATCATGGCGCGAGGGCGCCCCGACGGGACCGCCCCCGAGGGGACATCACCACCCGCGACCCCATCTGGGAGGCGCAGACAAACCGTCGAGGACCCTCCCCACATGTGCGATGTCCTGATTTTTTCTCTGCGGGCTCCCCAGAGGCCCCGACCCCCTTCCCCAGGACCAGTTTTTTTTCCCCCCTGAGTCGTTTTTTGACGGTCCCACGGCCCTGTAGGGGCCCCCACAGGCTTGAAACTGAGAAAAACCTCTGCTTGTTTTTTTTCACGCCGTTGCATGTCTGGGCCCCTCTGCGACCCCCGCCGGGGGCCTCGGGCCCCTCCGGCGCCCCGAGCCTCGGCGCGCGGCGCGCTTCGGCAGAAGGAGCCGCCCGCATGCGGCAGCCCCCTGCCCCCGACCGTGCGGCCCTCCGAGGTGCGCACCCCCCTTGCGCGCGCGGCCCCCGAGGACGTGGTGAGCCCCCCCCCACGTGCGCGGACCCCGAAGGGCGGCCTCCGATATATTGGCCCCGAAGACGTGGCCCCCAATCAGACGAAGCCAGGACGAGGATCAATTCGGGTAGGGATACATCGAGAGTCTCTGAGATCCGCCAACTCTGGAGGATGCGTCCGGCGCCGCGGCCTTCTTGGAGCGTTCCAGAGTGTCGCCTCCCAGGGCCCAACACGTGAAAACCCTCGAGTTTCGGTACCTTCCTGGTGCTCGAAATATTCTTCTGGTGATCCAAGCTAAAGTAGGTTGGAACATCATAGCTCCATTCCTTTTCCCTATGAAGAACTCCCCCCTGTCTCACCCCGAGGCTGGTCGAAAGAGCGGGCTGGGCGTTTTGCCTGAGACTTTCTTATTACTTATGAGCCTGAAGCGTAAATGCTGCCAACCGTTTCACGGATGGAGGGCGGGTCGTTCCAAAATGTGGCTCTCGCCTTAGCGCCGCGCACATTCGTTTGAACAATTGCAAGGATTTCGCGGATTGACGGCGGGCCGTCTTCAATATGCGTCTCTCGCCTTAGCACCGCGCACATTCGTCTCAAACATTTTAAAGCTTCATTGATGCTCATGGCTAACGTACCAGAAATGCGATTCAGGGTTGTCAGGGCGCAGCAGTTACGCTGCTTCGCGGTGTTGAAGTCCCAGCAATGGTGTTGTGGCACGATTCAGGGTCGTCAAGACGCAACAGAACGGTTGAGTCGTGGCGTAGAAGTCCTGAGAACAGTGTTTTGGCACGCTGAAGGATTTTCACACGTTGTCCCCCAACGGGGCAATTCCCCCCGTGAAGATCAATCCTTGTAGGGGTCTACTAAGGGGGAGCTTGGAGGCAGGGTGTAATCCAACATCGTTGATGGGTCTTGGGTTTGCACTTGTCCTCCTCCTCCCCCCTTCCTCCTCCTCCTCCTCCTCGTCCTCCCCCGAGGGATGGGCCCCCTCTCCCTTCCAAGGTGCCCTTGAGGAACCAGGGCGGCTCCGCCGGCGGAGGCGGGCAGGCGCCCCGCTGATGGCAAGTGCCTGGCAGAAGGGGGCCCCCGGAGCTCTCGACCGCGGGCACGCGGCGCGGGTTCGGAGGCTCGGGCGGAGGAGGGCGGGGGGCTCGCCGTCCTCCGAGAGGGGGCCTGCTCGGACCCCCCACGACGACGGCGCTCTCGGCACCGAAGGCCGGGAGACGCCGGCCGTGGTGCTCTCAATCCGGCGGGGCGCCACGCGGCTGGAGAGCCAGAGGGTCGGAGGGCCGACCCCCTCTGGGGCCGCGGGCCCGTCTCGAGGCGGACCTCGAGGCAGATCCACGAGGCGCGCTCTGGCCAAGACCGCAAGGCGGATCCAACCGTGGCGCACGGGGCCTCGGGCGGCACCTGGACGCTGAAATTACCCCAACGAAACACCCAAATAGCAGCAAAAGTGAAGCGGCGGGTCGAGGAATAGGAGATCAACTATGTGGGGACAGAAAATGACCGCGCGGTTCTCGCGCGGCTCTGTGCATCATTCTATACTTGTTACAAGGGGTCGTGGCCGTCCGGGCCACAAATTTAGCCAGCATTAAGGCGAGAGCGCGGTTCCTCCATCAATTGTGAGGGAGAAAGGAGACAGCGTGGAGCCCCAATAGTGTGCTTCTAGCAATGTATGGTGTGCAGTCGATGTGGAACCACAAATTTCTGTTCGCAGTGGGTTGTCAACTCCACTGCTTGCGCAGGCATCCCATCCGTCCACAACGCAACTTGGTTTGCAAACCCATGCGGCGAGGATTGCGATGAGTGCATGTGCCCCGCATGGTATTCTTTGACAGGGACCATGCCCCTGGCAAGCGCGCGAGAGACGGAATACATTCGACATGCGCGCGCGAAGGCCTCCGTGGACAGAATAGTTGAACAAGTATGGGGTTTCCTGATGAATCCGCAAGATCGCGTGGGATGACAGTTTGAACGCTTTTATTGAACAAGCCATTGGGTTTCGGGTGTTCTTTTATGCTGCCATCGCTACTAACATAATAAAGGTATTGGAAGGATTTTGTCTTACGTGCGTGCATGTGGCCCGCATGGTGTTATTTGATGGGTGTTCAAGCCACAAGATCATCTTAGATCAACGCAGGTGCACCGCATGGTATTAGTTGGCAAAGATGAGGGGGGGCAATACCGGTCTGGCTGGTATGAGTTCACATGGCAAATAAACAAGGAAGTCTAATCGTATGTACATTGCAATGCTCCAAGGGGGGTGATAAGACCGGGGGGTGATTAGGGTAGGATCTCATGTATTTTAAGAGAGGAGAATATATGCGGTGCAGTCTACGTTGTGCAATTTAGGCGGCGACGGCGAGCACATAGCCGCCAGACCGACATCCAGGCCCAGAAGACGGGTGTTGACGAGGCGGCGACGGGGTGGCGACGGCGAGCACATATCTGCAAGACCGACAGCCAGGCCCAGACGACGGGCGTCGACGGGGCGGCGACGGCGAGCACATAGCCGCCAGACCGCCACACAGGCCCATTCCTTTAGAAGAGAAATAAAACCCCTAAGTGCAAGCACTGCTTGGGGAAAGACCCTCGAGCGAAACCCTATTGGGGAAAATCTGGGCCCTCGGTACTCGGCGCTGGAAGGTATAGGGGAGGTCAGCGCAGGCATGCCCTGAGCTCCCGCCTCCGCTTTTGAGTGCGAGTTGCGCCCCCAGGTCGCTCTTCGGGATGCCCGTGGCCTCTGCGGCGATCGTGCACAGCTCGTCGTGGAGGGTGTTCGCGGACTTCGATCTGACCTAGGCGGAGGGGCGATACAGGCCAGCAAAAGGGAAGGGTGGACAAGGGAAGACAGACGATCCGAAGAGATAAGACGAAAATAAACCAATTGAGACAATTAAGTCCGCTGCCTGTCGAGAGGGCTATCCCGACATCGGACTGGGAGACCCACCACGGCGAACTAATAATAAGCGCCAACCAGCATTACCGCTCAAGCGGAGGTCCCCCTGATCCGGGCTAAAGAAAAGCCGGGTCAACCTGACCTAGGAGGCGGAGGTTGAAATTTGATTGGATTCCTCCTCAAGGAAGCTGCTCCGCACGCGTGCTAAGGTGCTAAGGACGTGCCCCCGAAACAACACTTTCAAGAGTGCTCGGCTCGGCGACGGACCGGGCAGATGGCCGTCTAGATCTGCGAGAGAGCGTGATCCACCGCCGCTTTCCTGTGGAAAATTGCCAACCTTTCCCTCCGGAGCCCGGGGGTCGCTCCCCCCCCCTCCGAAAATCCCCCTCCCCCCCCGTGCTGGACCCCCCCCCCTCCCCCTCTCCCGGCAAAACCACCCCCCCCACCTAACCCCCCCCCCCCCTCCCCCTCGAAAACCAGGGGGGGTCACTACCGGTTGTAACCCTTTCCCCCTTCCCCCCCTCCAGATCTGGAAAACCGGACCGGTTCGAACCCCCCCCCCCGTCGAAAACCGGAGGGGGGTCACTACCGGTTCGACCCCCCCCCCAGCGCACCGCCAGCAAACAAACTCCCGGTCCCTACCACCGTCCGCATCACATCCCCCACTGTTGTTCCCAGCGCCACTGTCCTCACCGCTACTGTCCCCACTGGTTCCACCACCGTCCCTACTGTCCCCACCAGTGCCCCCACCACTGTCGCACTGTCCCCACTGTCCCCGCCACTGTTCCCACCACGGTTCCACTCTCCCCACTGTCTCCACGGCCCCAACCACTGCCCGACTATCCCCACTGTCCCCACTGTCCCACTGATTCCTCCGCTGTCCCACTGAGCTGTCCCACTGTTCCCACCACTGTCCCCACTGTCCCCACCACTGTCCCCGCTGTACCTCTGTCCCATTGTCCCACCGCCGTCCTCGCCACCGCCTTCACCACTGTCCCCACCACCATTGTACCCTCCACTGTCCCACTGTTTCCACCTCATTCCCACTGTCCCCACACCACTGTCCCCACCACCACCGTCCCCACCACTGTCCACTGTCCCCCCTGTTCCCGCCATTGTCCCCACCACTACCGTCTTCACCACTGTCCCACTGTCCCCACCACTGTCCCGCTGTCCCCTCACCACTGTCCCCACCAACGCCGTCCCCACCACTGTCCGCACCCCCACTCGGTTTTCGAGGGGGGGCGGGGGGGGTATCGAACCGGTAGTGACCCCCCCCTGTTTTCGCGGGGGGGGGGGGTTCGAACCGGTAGTGACCCCCCCCCCTTTTCATGATGAGCTGGGGGGTTGGGGGAGGGGAGGGGTTCGAACCGGCAGTGACCCCCCCCGGTTTTCCGGAGGGGGGGGGGGGGAGGAGGGGTTCGAACCGGTAGTGGCCCCCCCCTGGTTTTCCGCCAGCAGCGGTAGAACACGCTCTTTCAGATCTGCCGATCCTGTCAGGGTGCCTCGGGGGGAGTCCTGGGAGGTGCTCATCCATTGGAAGCAAGCCCCTCTCTTCGATCTCTTCCCCGCCAGGGAGCGGGAGGGGTCCTGGGGGGAGGCGGGGTGGCCGTGTCCCAAGGGAGGTCCACCTCCCCTAGCCCCCCCTTCCTTGGAGCCTGGAATGACTCGGGCGATCTTTGGGCCCATTTGTCCATCTTTTGGCCACCTGGGCCCGCTGGAAGCATCTCGGGACCAATCTCGGCCAACCTCGGTACAGTTTGGGAGCCTTGCGAGCCGTCATGGAGGCCCTTGGAGCCGGCCACAAACAACCAAGTCGGGTGATTCCTTTTCGTTTTTGTGTGATTCTGCCATTCTCGCCGCATCGGTCGCAGCAGCGTCCAACACGGCTCCTCCTCCTCCTCCACCTCCTCCTCCTCCTCCTCCTCCTCCTCCACCTCCTCCTCCTCCTCCTCCACCTCCTCCACCTCCTCCTCCTCCACCTCCTCCACCTCCTCCACCTCCTCCTCCTCCACCTCCTCCTCCTCCTCCTCCTCCTAGGCGCGTACCCAGGGCGCCCAGAGTCCTCACTGTCGATCGCCTCTTCGCTGGAGGCGTATAAACGCCATCCTCACCTGTGAGAGGACGGGGCCCACTTGCGAGTCTGAAAGATGCGGGGCGAATGGCGCGATAAAAGTATAGAGGAGATGGGCGACAGCAGAGAAGTGGAGGGCGTCCGAGGAAGACGGGGTGGGATAAAGACCGAGCCGAGAGATCGGGCACTCAGGAAGAGGGCGCCGTAACACTCTGGCACAATATGAGACAAAGACAGGGCAAGTGAGATAGTGTGGGATCGCATCCTTCGCTCTAGGATTACATTTGACCACGCAATAGCAGTCGCTCTTTTGAAATCTGGACTCTGTGGTCCAGGAGCCTGACCGTGTTTTAATTCGCGCAGAGGCAAGGGCGGGCTGAAGCGAGCGACACAAATTCTGGATGGTGGGCCAATCGATGGCGATGATGCGACTGCGGTGGCCTGGGAACCACTTCGTGAGGCGAGCTGTAAATGTCTCATGAAGCGTGTCTGGGAACAACGAAGCAGAGAGAGAGCTCGTGATCAAGCGCTGGATCTTAGGAGGACAGGAGCGAGGAGCAGCAGCAGGAGGCTCGGCAAGGAGCGGGGTGACGAGGTCAATAGCGTCTTTGCCAGCGCTTGCAACACGACGGCAGCTCGGGAAGCCTTGGGCGGCTTCGGCCAGCTGCTCAACAAAACTGATATTTTGCCAGAACCTTGGACTCGGGCCATCCTGCAGCACGTGTCTGAGAGGTCTGTGCTCGATGGCCTTTTGCTGGAGCGCCTCGCGCCAAATTTCCCAGCCGCGAAACGTGACCAAGACAGCTCTCATGAGGGCGGCTCTGGAGATAGCCTCGGCGCTTGGGAACTTGGGCCCTCCCCAGGCCGAAAGATAAAAAGAAGTCGGTTCTACTCATCGCACAATGAGGTGTCTTGTGCAGACTGGCAAGCTGGGCGTGCTCTTTACGGGTGACAGAGGAGGGGGGGGGGGGGGGGGGAAACTGACCGACGTGCGACAGCACGGGGAGAGCGCGTCTGGAGTAAAGAGCGGCGCACACAGCTGTCGGGGCAGAGGCGGCCGCGATCGCGGCCGCGCGGGCAGCGTGCTTCGCGCGTGGGGCGACCCGCGAGTCGAGCACCGCTGCTGGTCCCATACGCAGCCCTAGGTAGAGCAAAGACGGGGCGATTACGAAATCGCTCCATTCGGGGATATGTGTTTGGATCCAGCTTCTGTATCTGTCGGCTAACTCATCGGAAAACGGGCCAGCCAGCGGGGCCACAAAACACTTTTTGTGTTTAAGGAACAGAGCGGCCAGGCGCTCTGCGGCCTTGAACATTCGGTGCACAACTTTCATGAACTGAAGCTGACAAACCACGCTGCCTATGTCGTCGGCGCACGCTCGGGCGACCCCGCGTCGGTTCGCTTCGAGCGCATTCGAGGGGAAGGCAAGGAAGGGGTGAGATGCGATCGCATATAAGGTGCCAGAGGCGGGGCACCCTTGGACGATCCCAGACATTATATAGAACAGGTGCATAGTGACGGGGCCAGCCGTTCCAACGCATTCGACGTTAGTGTAGATCAAACGGAGGAAGTGAAGCAGAGGGGGAGGCAGGTCAAGACGAGAGAGGACGAGACAAATCCACTGATGGGCCAGGGATGGGAAAGCTTGGCCAACATCAAAACTGAGAAGGGCGGGGAGATAGGAAGGGGCACGCTCAGGCATGGAAGCGATGCGAGCTTGGACGTCCAGTTCTAGAATGTTCATCCCCCAATTCCGAGAGCGCACAAATCCCCTCTGCGACTGGTCGATGAAGCTCGGCAAGGCACTAGATAGATCCCACGTGCAGGCTGCTGTCATCAGCTTGCAGTCGCAGCTTTTCAGGCCCAGCGGTCTCGTCTGGGAAACCGATCGGTCGATAGCAACGTCGTCGCCTTCCTCAGAGCCTTTCGGAAGAAATACCCCTCGAACTTTGTTGAAGGAATAGAGCATCGTGTTGCCCTGGAGACACCGCCACGTTGCCTTCGTGAGAAGCTCACGGCCACGCGGGTGCATGGCCCAAGCGAAGTACGGGATGCCGTCGGGTCCGGGCTCGCTCGTCTTGGCGTGCCGGAGGATCCGATCGAATGTTGCCTTCGAAGGCGGCCGTAGGTCTCGCAGAGCAGCCTGCGGTGCAAAGCGGTCGAGATAGATGCCAGCAGCCTCGGTGTCGATCTGTTTCGAAGCGAATACCTGTCCCCAGCCTTGCCCCAGAGCGAGAAGTTTCCCCTCAGGGTCCGTGATCCTGGAACCGTTAACCTTTATCCCCTGGATGGTGAGCTTGCGGTCGAAAGGGGCTCCAGAGTTTAGCGCGGCGAGCGATGGCCCGAAGACGACGGCGATGTTTGGCTAGAATTTTGTCTGGAGTATCTGGCTGCGTGCACTGGCGTACCTCTGCCGCGGCTCGATCAGCAGCTGCCTGCTGCGCAGCATTCGTGGCCTCGAAAAACTCTTGCGGCGACAACAAATAGACAGAGGTCTGTTGCACATCCACTTTCAAGTACTTGCGCCCCATCCAGTGAGTTCTTTGCAGTCTGTCAGCTAGGCGGACATCTTGATGCCAAAGAGCCCGAGATATCGTTTTGAGGATGATAAGCCCCGCAAGAGGAGAGTGAGGGTGGTTAGCGATAAGGCTATCCCGAGCGTGTTGTGCAGCAGACCGCATAAGCTTCCTGTGAAACTCGATCAGCAGAGGTGGCGACAGCTCCGACACATCTGCTACCTCCATCGCTTTCTTCAGGTACTCCTGGAACTCAGGCATCCTGAGGAGGTCCCTGGGAATCGGTCTGGCGTCTGGGTCCGTTTTCTGCCTCGGAGAAATCGTAACAAATGCCCCCACGTGATCTGAAACCCGCTTTGCACTCAAAATTTCAGGCATACCGTGAAGTTCAGCAGAAGCGTTCAGTTGCGTCAGCGACCAGCCTGGCGATGACACGAACACTCTATCGATGGCGCTCAGCGGGTTCATCTGCTTATTGAAATGCGTTTCCCCCTCCACCTCCACCTCCGTGAACCAAGAGAAGAGACGACCCCAGAACTGATCTCGCCGATGCTGCCGCTCAGCAAGAGGCTGCCCGTGCAAATCGGGCGTGGTTCCTAAAGACCGAGGCGGGCGATCCGCGACGTTGAAATCACCTGCGAGCGCTACCATGCATAGGAGTGGGTTCTGCTGGGCCCTCTGCAGGTCTAGTTTGAGCTGATCTTCGAGCTGTAGTCGGTATATCTGCGATATATCGTGATTATGGATGTTGTAGTGGGATATCCAAGCCCCGGAAGAGAACTCGATAGTCGCCCTGAGGATTCTGCCAGGAACGATCTGAAGCGGTTCGATGACAGGAGGGCCCCTCGGGTGGGTCAGGGAGAAGTCGGGGGCGAAGGTGGTCGCACCCCCTGTGCGAACATTCACGTCGCCGACGAAGAACGAGGAGAACGCCAGGAAAGGACGGTGGATATGATATAGAAAATCATGCACTGCAATCTCGGATCCATGAGTCTCCTGTACTGTGCCACCAGCGCCCCACGCGATAGCAGAGACTTCAAATAAGACGACTTCTTGGATCGGATCGCAGGAGAGTGGAAGAAGAGAGCTCTGGCATTCCAAGTGGCGAGCGTCAGCGGAGCCGCTGACGAAGCACTCCCTTGCCACGACGCGTAGAACTTGCTAGGGACACCCTGTATGTTCTCGTCCTCTCTGGCGCCGACTCCGACCAGAGCGTCACGAATAGCTTGTTCGTTGAGGTTGAGGTGCGTCAGGTTGGCCGAGCAGAACTCGATGTTGGCCGACGCCGACGGACTCTGGATGTTGACACGGATGAGTTGCTTCCACTGCGACGAGATCGAGCCGAGAGCTTTGTCCGTGAAGAATCGGGTCTGCGGGTAGAGTCCAGCCAAGCGGACTCTGATCTGCTTGAGCGTGATCTCCTGGTGGGCCATGGCGGGGCTCTTGTCCGTGGACACATGCAGCTCGGTCTCCGAGCCTTGCATATTCTGACATGAGAATCTCTGCCAGCCTCCGTCGCGCAGACGAAGCGCTCCCATGGCTTGTCCAACGCGGCGTGCTGCCAGGGCGCCGTTTCCCTGAACTTGAATAACGAAGCGTTTGTCCACTGGTTCGCACTCGACCTTGAAGAGAGTCTGGTCCAACTGCACTCGATCGAGCCATGGCTGGATAGCTGCGAGCATTGCCTGCTTTGCCACAGGAGCTTTAGCCCGCGCGATGATGAGAGAGGTGTCTGGAACGCGGTGGAAGGAAGTATCATCCACAGGGACTGTCGCTGGCTTTTCACTCTGGAGAATGCCCATATGCTGCCGCAGCTCTGCGATCGCAGACTCGAGCTGAGTGATGCGGGCCTCCGCGCGGCCCTGCCGACATTCGAGACCAGAGATACGCTTCTCGACCTGTCTGCCCAAGTCGTCACAGCTCTTGGAGACTGAGGTGGCCAGCGCCGCGATGCCAGCCTGAAACCCTCCGATTGCCAATAGGAGCTCCTTCTTCGTGAGGTCGATGTACTCGCGGACAGCACCAAATGAGTCTTCATGAGCGTCCTGGAATTCACCAACTCCGTCTCCACTTGGGGTCCCAGACGCAGTAATAGGCGTATTAGGACACATAGAGCCCAGATCACCAGTCCCTGCCCTCGGTTGTGGCGACGCAGGGAACGTGGGCATGAGCTCGAATTGATCACCCAACCTTTTCTTATCCTCTTCGTCAAGGGTCGCCAGAGTCGCCGCCGCTGCTGCTCCCCGTCGTGGGTCTGCACTCCGACTGCGGCTGTGTGCATGGCTTCCGCGTGCCTGCTCGACGGCAGGCATGGTTGGCGCAGACTCTGGGGAGGAACGGAACTGGTGGAGAGAATGATTGGCGCCGTGGGCCCTTCGCCCCAAGCTGTCTGTGCCAGACAGGCTACGGAAGGGTCCAAAGCTAATCGCTGATTCTCGGGTCCTCGACCCTTCGCAACGTTTAGCCTTGAGCCAAAATGGCTACGGACCCTCCTCCTCCTCCTCCTCCACCTCCTCCTCCTCCTCCTCCTTCTCCTCCTCCTCCGCCCCGAAGGGCCCCAAGATCAGGGGAGCAAGAAACGGCATAAGCACAAACTTTGGGAGGTCCGCGCGGATTTCTTGGATCGGCGCCGAAGACCTCCTGGCGGCGTCTCTGGCGCTGCCTTCTCCTTCCCCAAGATGAACACTTGGCATGCTCGTGAACTTTTGGAGGTCCGCGCGGATTTCCTGGATCGGCGCTGCACCCTCATCCCTGGCGCGCGGAGCGCGCCAGGGGCGGCGCTGGAGGCGCCGCCAGGGTCCCTAGCGCCGATCCAAGGAGTCCGCGAGGACAGCCGAAAGTTGATGCTTATGCCGTTTTTCTTCTTTGGAAGACGCACCCGAGTGGGCCTCAGAGGCCCCCAGGAGCCCCCCCAGGCGCCTGGAATACAACCAAGGCGCGAAGGCGGGATGAGCGACGATCGTGAGATTCTCGGAGCACAACCGGCACTGCCACTTGTCCCCGTCCCTCCGCCTAAAATGTTCGCCTACCAGAGCCGGCCGTAAAACTCCTGCAGTAAAAACATGCCGGGACGTCATGCTGAAAACACCTATGCGGAGGCCCCCTCGCTGAGAACCATTAGCTAGGATGAAAAGGGTTGTGCAATTTGACGCTTCTTGCTCCTCCAGAGGGGCGGGGGGCGATCGTCGCAACGCCAGGATCGCCTCGAGATTCTGGTCAGAGCGCGCCCCAGTAGAGGTCGGGAAGACGGTTTTCTGGCGAGACGCCCATCGGTTGGATGTCGCCATCTATATGTTGACACCGATCCTGGCACAGCCACGATCGGTGCTGGTGCACAACTGCAGTCCCATGAGGACCTTGTCGTCGAAGAAGTTCTCCTGCTGGTCGTAGACCGCCGAACAAAACTTCCACACGGCCTCTGGCTTCACCGCGGCGACCGCCATGCACGCCTCGTGCATGACCGCCGACTGCGGGTGCCATGGCTGGATCACGTTGCAGTAGAGCCACTGGATCGCTCCAGGGTGCGACGCCTCGTAGGCGGGGACCACTTCCTGCAGCGTCGTGTGCATCTTCCTGCTGAAGGGGCAGCAGAGGTCCTGGAAAAGCTCCACGACTATCCTCGGCGGCTTCTCCGGCAGCTTGTGCGGGTGGCCCAGGGGACCGATCAGGGAGAAGGCTGCACGGAGGCGAGGACAAAGCACAAATACTTCCGCGCACAAGCGCCCCGCAATCTCTGAGAGCTGGCGGGGCCGGAGGACGACATGGCGCGCTGGGGCCCTTCCCAGAACGACTCCGAGCGCGATCGATGCCTCTTCTCGGGCCAATCGCAGACAGCGGATGCCCAAGCACCTTCCGATACGTTTTTCCCCCCGCGGCCCCGAGGAGCTCTGGACCCCCTCGCTGCGGATCCGCGTCTGGTGACCCTGGGGGCTTGACAGCGGGCACCACGTGCCGAAATCTCAAGGAGAAGACGTCCGGACTGACAAGGTGGACTCGTCGGAGATCCGGGGGTATCCCTCGTCCCAGGCAGAACAGTCGGCATAATCCGAAAAATTTAAGGTCCGCGAGGATTCTTGGATCGGCGCTGGGACCCCCTCCATGGTGCGCGGATCGCGCCAGGGGCGGCGCGAGGGGGTTCAGCGCCGATCCAAGCAATCCGCGCCTCTGACAGTTCATATTTATGCAAATGTTTCGTCTTCGATCCCCTGTCCCCTTCGCCGCCTGAGAAGTCAGAGGACGGCGACGCTAGCGAGGAGGAGGAATGAGGAGGAGGAGGAGGAAGAGGGGGAGGAGGAGGAGGAGGAGGAGGAGGAGGAAGAGTCTAAAGGGACCTGGGGGCAGAGGCGGCCCCATGGCCCCAGCCGCCAGTGGATGCTCGACGAACCGCTGGTTGGATTGAGCCAAAACTTGGTCTTCGTCGTCGTCGTCGTCGTCATCGACGCCGTCGTCGTTCTCGTAATCGTCGACGTCGTCGTTCTCGAAGGTGGAAGCGGAGGAGAGGCTGGAGGACAAGATCGGAAGAAACGCACCAGAAGTTACAATTTTCAGCCGGGAGGGGGGCCGCTTCGGGCCGCAGGAGTACCAAACATCGATCTTGGGCGAATAACTTGAAAGGATGCATCCTGAGAGGCGGCTGGGGACCGACTCACGAACATAAGCAGAGTAAACATAATACGAACACTCGTACTACTACTAAGAACAATACTGATATTAGTATGTATCGTATTGCATTTTTAACCAACTGTATTCAGATCATTCGTAGTAGTAGTAGTAGTAGTAGTAGTAGTAGTAGTAGTAGTAGTAGTAGTAGTAGTAGAGTAGTGTAGTAGTAGTAGTAGTAGTAGTAGTAGTAGTAGTAGTAGTAGTAGTAGTAGTACTAGTAGTAGTAGTAGTGCAAGTAGTAGTAGTACTACTACTAGTAGTAGTAGTAGTAGTAGTAGTAGTAGTAGTAGTAGTAGTAGTAGTAGTAGTAGTAGTAGTAGTAGTAGTAGTAGTAGTAGTAGTAGTAGTAGTTGTAGTAGTTGTAGTAGTAATTGTAGTAATAGTAACAGTAGTCATAATCGTAGTAGTGATAGCATTAGTAGTTGTAGTAATAATAATATTCATAGTAGTAGTAGTAGTAGTAGTAGTAGTAGTAGTAGTAGTAGTAATAATAGTAGTAGCAGTGGTCGTCGTAGTAGTAGTAGTAGTAGTCGTAGTAGTAGTAGTAGTAGTAGTCGTAGTAGTAGTAGTAGTAGTAGTCGTCGTAGTAGTAGCAGTAATAGTAGTGCCACTACCACCACCACTACCACTACCACTACCACTATTGCTCCTCCTCCTCCTCCTCCTCCTACTACTACTACTACTACCACTCCAACTGTTATCATTAACACGAGGACGCATGATATGCATAACAATAATGATACCCGTACGAATGCGAATGCTAGTGCTCATGCTGATAATAATAACAAGAATAATGCTGATACTACAACTCATGGTATCAAGAGTAGTACGCTTATGAATAAATTGCTAAAGCACAAGCCTTCAGAGGTCCAAGCGGATTTCTGGGATCGGCGCTGGGCCCCCCTTGGCGGCGTCTCCAGAGCAGCCCCTGGAGCGTTCCTCGCGCCCGAGCGGAACTCCCAAAAAATCATTTATGCCGCTTTCTTCTTCTTCGACGAGCGTAAACTGCTTTTGAAGGGAAGCGGCAGCAGGATGGGGAGGATGAGGAGTAAGAGAATTTCGCCGTCCACTGCCGCCACAAGTGGTCAGACTCCTGGAAGATCTGTTGACAAACCGCGGGGGTGGGGGCAGCTTACAAGGCTGTGGAGTGCGGGGCCAGCGGGGCAGGAGAAATACTTCGGGCGGCCTGTGTCCTCCAGGCGGATGTGTCGTTCAATCTGGCAAGAGACGCATCTCGAAGCTCTGAGCCTTCGACATTGACTGGATCAGCCAATATTTGTGAGCAGACTACTAATTACTCTGCGAACCTTTGGATTGGCGCTAGTTGCATGGAAAAGGACGCTACGGTCAGGAACTTGTGCTTAGAGTGCCGCAACGGAGGCACCAGCGACACGCTACGCCCCGCAACCTGATAGCGTGCCGTTCCGCTCCGCGGGGCGGGAGGCTGGGAAAGGCCGGCGCCGTTGATGCTCGGGGCCTGGGACGTGCTCAGCGTGTTGCGCCGAAGCATAGTGAGCTAGAACCGCCAAGCAAACGTTCCCGACCGTGGTCTGCTCGAGGGCCGCTTCCTGCAAACTGCTGGGCAGAGGCGAGAAGCTCCCGTCCGCCCTTCCCCCCCCCGCCGCTGACACATGAGATGGACGCAGGCGGCAGTGCGCCCAGGAGCACAACACCGAGCACGCGGGAGCCAGCGGGTCCGTGGGTGCCACGATCCCTTAAGCACATGGCATGTATTCACACGGGTTGGAATCGCATGCTGGCTGACCCGGCCAGCGTAAGGTCTCTCCGTGAGCTGCATGCCGTGTGACAGAGCAGATCGTGGCATGTGTATGGTTCGGAGAAACCGAAAGCAGTGCCAGCAGGCACTCGGAGAGGTGGTCTGAGCCGAGCATGACCCGGCGTACATGTGCTCTGAGGTGCGCCAGCCTGTGCGTGCAAAGGCGCACAGCCAGTCAGCCACAACAGCGCCCTGGCGTGCATGGCGCAGCGCATGCTTGCGCACAAGCGTGGCACGCCTCTGCCTCTGCGCAAGCTCCGGCGCACAGCTGAGCATACCCGTGCACCAGCGTGCGCTGCAAGGCGCCTGGGTGCGCGCGGGTACGGCGTTCTGTGTGTGCTGGCGCCACCGGGCACAAAAGATGCCCACGGGTGCGTCGCACAGCGCATGAGTATGCCAAGGCATTGCGCACTGCGCTTGCGCAGCTGCATCACCGGGATAAGCGATACCCAGGGCGCGCTGCACAACGCTTGGGTGCATAGAGGTGGCGTGCACCGCGAGGCTGGCACCGCCACGCACAGACAATGCGCAGGCGTGCTCCCCACTGGCGAGTCCCGAGTGATAGGGCAGCTGCCACAAACGGGACATCCATGCACACTTCTCTGTCCGAAGCAGACTTGGCAGAGGGTGCGCAAGTTGCCGTGTGGCTGCGTGCCTCGACCGAATGGCACAGCGAAAAGCGTCAATGTAGTCTTGGGGCCGAAGGCGCGCAAACGTGTCAACATGCCTGAAACCACACGCTCCGTGCATGGTGGGTCTGGGCACTAGGGCGCACCGCATGCACTAGAGCATGGCACAACAGGTCTTGTGGTCAAACGAGTGGCACAGCTATGCTCCGATTGCCTGTCAATCGCACTCAACGTTACTACCTTGTTGAGTGGGTAAGTGGGTCGCGTGCCGCGTGCCTGTGGTAACGTTGACAAATGGTCGTGGCTTGGCGGGACCACGTCCCTGCTCCTTGGGTGCAACAAGTTTTTTTTGACACGGCGTCAGGGCAGCGTGCGGCACGACAGCAGTAGGTGCCAGCAACATGCCTGAACGCTTCATCGTGGACAGCGGGCGGTGTAGACGATCATGAAGTCGCCGTCGGAATCCGCGTCGAGGAAAAGCAACAAGAAGAAGTACGACAGCTCGCAATTAGCAAAGAGGCTGATTCAAGATGGGACAAAGGACTTGATGAGCAATGGGTGTGGCTTGGCCGTCGTGCTGGCTGCAGCGGAAAGCAGTAACTGCAACGCTCGCCTGATGCGTGTCTGGTCGGCTGCGGTTCACAGCCGGGGCACCAACGCGCGTTGTTGACATCAGGTTGGTGACGAGGTGATACCCATGGCGCCAAGATGACGTGCCTCCTCAGAGAGACTCCACCACGAGCGCACCTGTGCAGGCACCTTGGGACTCGGGCCTGCACAAGGACGAACGCCAGCTTGAAGCTTGGGATCGCCGTAGGAGTGTTGAGGCCAATGCAGGGGCCAAGGGTTGTGAAATAGAGTTCCGCGGCCGATCTTGGACGATGGTGAGGGGTCCTGGGCGTCGTGGTGCCCACGTGGGGTGGAACCCTGCACGTGGCTTTTTGTTGCCCGCGCAACCAGTCTCTCGTGGGGACTCACACAGTCTGGCGTTAGCCCCATCGTGCCCGCGAGAGCTCGAGGCAAATTGCCCGCAGGCTTGTATAACAGCCATAAACACAATCTGCTCGAGAAGTGGAGGGTTGATCCAATGAAGAGTTTGGGGGAAGTGCGGATGTGTGTCCACATCGCGCTCTGCGCAGGTTCCGCGGATCGGTGCTAGAGCTGGTTTGCACCAGCTCCGATACCAGCTGGAATTGCGGGGTTAGCCGTGGCAGCAGCAGTAGGCGACATGGCGGCAGTGGTAGAGAAGGTTCTTCGATACCACCGAACACATGTCTGAAGTACGCGTGCACGCTCGAGCCACGATGGCGGCGGCAGGCGCGCACAGGTCCTATTCGAGTGGGGGGTAGGAGGAGGAGGAGGAGGAGGAGGAGGAGGAGGAGGAGGAGGGGAGGAGGAGGAGGAGAGGAGGAGGAGGAGGAGGAGGAGGAGGAGGAGGAGGAGGAGGAGGAGGAGGGGAGGAGGGGGAGGAGGAGGAGGGGGAGGAGGAGGAGGAGGAGGGGAGGGGAGGAGGAGGAGGAGGAGGGGGAGGAGGGGGAGGAGGAGGAGGAGGGGGAGGAGGAGGAGGACGAGGAGGAACCCTCGCCTCGAAGATAACCCCCCGTCCGCCTCGCCAGGCGCCGCGGGCGGCGGGGCCTCTCAGGAGCGTCGCGCTGCGGACGTCCTGCACCTCGAAGCTGTCGCCATCGTCGGGGCGGCACAGCGACGGCGGCGCCGCGGGAAGCTGGCTGCGCAGGTACCTTCAGCGTGAACTGGCCCGTCCTGTGGCCGTGCAGCAGCCGTGGTATGCTTCTCTCCAGCGGACTCGTCCGCTGGCCCCCCTGTCCCACCCAGCTCAGTGCCTGCAAGGAAGCTGTCGGTCGGCGGAGTCGCGCACGCAGCAGGCGCCGCCGCGGC